CCTCCGGAGGACCCGTCCTGTCGTTTTGGACACAGCCAATGTTTACTCACAATGCTAATGCTCTCTTCCTCTCTGGCGCTCATGAGGTAGAGGAGCCAAATGGCTGGCTCACTGCTGCCAACTAGTGGTCAGAGGCTGAACTACAACATAAAAATGAATGGCTGGCAGGAAAGTTGACATTTTAAACCTTAATAAAAATCGATACAGGGCATTAGAATTATCGATACAGTATCAGGAAATGAAATATTGCAATATTTCAGTGTATCGATATTTTCTTACACCCCTAATAATTATATTAACAATAGGCTGTTCTGTTTGAATTGTAATTACTGTATAATTTTAAATGTAATAATGTAGAATAACGACATAAATTGGTTATTAATGCTGTTGTATAACACTACATGAATATTATGAAGATCTCAAACTACAAACCAACTTAAATTTTGCATTAATTGAAGTTTAATTTGTCTCTGTATATAATGAGCTTTATAGATTGTTATAAAGGTGGTGGTGGGGCACTGCTCTCCTTCTGAATAAATGAAAACTACATAACACAGTTGTTTACACTTAAATTAAAAATATTTGACCAGAGAAAAACCGGAGCAGGATTAAAGAGAGATGATTTAGATTTTTATTTCTGTGACTGTATACGACCCAAAGGTGACACAACATTAACAGCAGTCATCATTTCATTCCTCGGCTTTAGCAGCTCCTTTAATTCCACAGCTGACGCTGCTAAAAATGACAGATTTGCTTTTCTGCATCTCTGAGAGCAGGACTTCAATCTGCGAACTCATAAAGTTCTTCTTTTTTACTTTGTGATGTCATTTATGAATGAACACTTCCTGGTGTGTGGGGCAGGAAATGTAGCCTTATATGGTGTTTTTGGGTGGTAATTATGCAAATCTCCTCTCCTCGTGCACGAGCAGCTGATACACTGTTCATTTACACACTTTYCCTGAAGATAGAAGAGTTTGTTGAATCTGACGTGACATGTTCGTACGAACCCTTCGTACGAACAACAGTAAGAGAAATTTAGGATAAGAATACGAACATGTTCTTGCAGCGTTAGCACTTCATCAAAAATGATGAACACACATTTTCCTCACTCATTCTGACTGCAGCTCCTGGTTTTCACCGACACAAATACCACAAAGTAACTKAACTCCTTTTTAATCGTAATCAGGGCCAGAGAGGCTCAAAGATGACTGAATGTTCTTGTGACTTCAGACAAGTGAGCGGGCGCCATTCAGAGGAACAAAAGTGCCATCATTCTCAATTAGACCTGGTTTGATAATCACACCCTCCGCTCGGTCTGCAGAGGCTGTGATTGCACGACGGCTCACTCTTGATTGGACGATGACTGTTAATCGGCAGCGAATAGTGAAGCAGACAAAGTTGAAGGTGATCGCATTTACAAAACAAATAATTCACGCGTCACAAACTTAGCAGACGGCCACTCGCTCGTTCAGCTGAGGGTTACTACAGGTCGGGTTCACGTGCCCCGGACAGCRTGCACGCTCGTGGTCTGGTCTAAACTCCCCGTCCACCCCCTCACAACCCTCGGGGTCCGGTCAGAGGGGCCGAGTGCACTGAGCACAAAGCCTCTCTCCTGGTGTGTGAAACATCACTGAGCTGGTCACCAGTGGGTTGTCAAGGGGGGAAGTGGGGGTGCAGTCCAACAATGCTGCTTTGAATGCACACACACACACACACACACACACACACACACACACACACACACACACACACACACACCCCTCTGTCGTTGTAGAGCCTTTGTGGCTGACACATTCACACGGACATCCATCCGGCTCCTGCTGACCAAACCAAACACAACACTCGGAATCACGGCTGCAGAAGCGGCGTCGCGACAGAGGATCGACCCGTGTGGGTCGGCTCTGAGCGGACAGGACAAGAACAAGATGAAGTCTTTTGTATTTAAAAAAAAACCTTTAAAATTATCATGATGAAGCGTTATAATATTGTCTAAAGTATTGTTTTGTTGTAATTATGTGTTGACTTACTTTCACCGTATGCTGACGGTGAATTTTTGAGTTGGTGGTTGATTTTATTTTGCGAGTAGGGGAAGATATTACAAGTTTATACTTMTTTCTGCTCCTTTTCATTCATGACTTCTKTAATTTACTTTTGTTTTCCTTGACATTTTGATTTTGTATGAGTCATCATTTTATTTTATTTCTCATTTATTTCTTTATTATTATTTATTGGATGACTTGTTTTC